ATTTTGTCTTATTTTATGTCTTCTATGTTAAAAGTCATATAAATGTCCAAACCAAATGTTGATTTTGGACATAGCAAAATGTCATAATTTTTATATCACGGGATTGAAAAAGCTTCCTTATCGAGGAATAATATATTAAATAATCAAATGATTATGATGCTAATTAATTACTAATTAGCAGCCATTCCTCAATTATTGAATAAAAAAATAAGCTGCCAATTGAGGCAAGAGATATTTCCCCCAAATTGTACAATTGAGTATGATTATTCATTCATTTTTTTCGTTTAGACAATCCTTCGACATCTTTGATATGTCTGTTAATTTAATTGGATGTGGCAAACAGTCATGTTGACCTCGTATTTATGTACAAAAATTTTTATAAACACTCAAATCAATTTTAATCACTGACGAAGTCAGACATTTTTCATTGTGATGTCAAAAATTAAGTTTTAAATAATTTTTTCGAACATCATTTTCCTCTTAAATGCTCATTTCATATAAATTATTTTTCATAGTTTCCTGACACGAAATTCAACGAATAAATGAAGGGTTGTGCTACTTGTACATTATGTCATCCATTATGGATGCCATAATGTACAAGTAGAATAATCCATAAATGAATGCTAATCTATTCCAACTAATAATTTCAATCATAAAAGCAAAATCAATTTCAATGGGCAAATGGCAAAGTCTCAATATTTCATTTAGATCACAATAAAAAAAAAAAATTCCATAAAAATAAAATTTCAACTATGAATTCTAATATTTGAATAAAATTTAAAACCACCAAGTTAGGGGAAGTTAGAGGCTGTTCTATTTGTATTTTAATTTTGTGTTTTGAGTGTCCATTTTGAGATTGTTGAAAATATGTTCTTTTTTACATTTTGAAAAATTGTTTTGAAAACACCCAAAACGCGTTTTGAAAATTTTGACTTAATTATAACTGAAAACACCTAAAACGACAAATGTCGTTCTGAGTTTTCTTTATAAATTTCTAACTTGTTTTCAAAAACGAGTTTTCAAAAATTTAAAAGAGAACACGTTTTCACTGTTTTGAAAAATCGAAAATAGAAAACGAATTGAAAATAGTAAAGAAAACATGCCTTATTTCTTACCTTGGAAGTGAGATTGAAATCAAAACTTGAAATTGACACAAATGTCTTGAAATCACTAAAAATACATATTTACCCTGTGAATTTCATGATAATGTATAATAATACTGTAAAATTATAAATTAAGAACTAAATTTATTAAGTAGAGAGCACGAACCCATTTTTCTAACAAATAAGTTCGCAAATTTGCCCAATAAAGTACAAATCCAAGTATATACCTCAATAAAATTGATAAAAATAAAAAAGACATATCTAGATCTCGAAGCAGAAATGAGATTTGAGACTCGAGAAAAGTTGGAAGGCAGAATTTTAAAGAAAAAACCCGTGCAAATGAGGAAAAGGTGAAAAAGAAAAATAAAAAATAATAAAAAATTTGTGTGGTGTCTACTGACCCATGCACCTGCTTTTAATCAAATATATTTTAAATGATCCAAAAATACTATTCACTTATATCATCCATTTTTATTTATTTATAATTTAAACGGTTTATAAATACGTTCCAAACGTACTTATATAATTAGTATTACTCATGACTAAAAAAAGATAAAGCTCGCACACTTACCTTATGGTGGATGATAGCATGAACTAATTATTATTATAAAAAAAGAGAGTATATTTTGATTAAAAAATCAATTTTCTAGAGCAGCTTTGATATAATTTGAGAATTCCGATAACTCAAAGTGAGATTCAATGCCACCCCTTCCAAGTCTTATACCCTACAACGTGCATGCATTACATTAAAGCCATGATGAAGTATAGTGTTATATTGCCTATTGGTTTTTACTAATGCTATTTATAGTCGTTCACTGCGACGATCGAACTATATGGCACACACATGACATATAGTTATTTGATGTATTAATATGGTAGTTTTTTTTTTACCACATTAATGCATTAAATACACACTTGACATGTGTGTGTTATGTAGGGCGACTGCTGCAGTGAGCGACTGCAAATAGCATTATTCCAATTTTATATAGGGAAAATAAATAAAAAACAAAATTTTTTTTTTTTTTAATAAATGCTTATATGTTTGAGTAGGGACTAAAGAATTTCACTCATCCACAAAAGGAGGCTGGTACACCGTCTCATTAAATGTTAGAGATATCTCATAAATAATGAGACATCGAGGTCAACTTTCACTAAGTTGCTCATTGATATCAAATATTATGATCAATTTCACAAGCTAACAATTCTTTGAGTTTGAGTTTGAAAATGCAGCAAATGAGATATTTTTGCAACATAAAAGAATTAAGTCAAGAGTCAATTAAGAATATTGTACGGACAACTCCTATCCATTTTTTTGACTTGCTACATAATTTTCATTTATGTCATGACTACTATGCTAGCTACGTGTAGGGGCGGACGCAGAACTTTAACTTTGGGGGAGCACAATCGAACTTGTAAAGAAGTTGGTAGAATTTTTACAATCGAAAATTTACGTCCAAAAAAAATCATACTCCATGTAATTTTACATCTAAAAATTTACATGAGATATGACTTTTTCGGATGTAAAATTTCGAAATTTTTTGAAAATTTTCTAATAAAATGATGAAAATTACATTGAGAAATTTGTATCGTAAAAATAATAAATGTTAATGAAATAATTGATTTTTTGTTTTAAAAAATGCGAGTTAGACGTCTTTTTAAAGGTTCACGTTTAACGTATTTTTAACTGTTTTCGATATATGTTTGAACTATTCGATATGTCCATAATGTAATTCTTGAAATAAGTTTCGAAATGATACAAATAATTTGTAGATTCGATTAGCATACGATCGTCGGAAAATTTTTAAAATTTGTATATTTCGAAATTCAAATTTATCTTTATTTTACTCCTATTTGGTGAAGATTAAAATCAAATTTTTAGTAAATTTGGGTACAAATTAAATAGTTATGAATTTCATGAAAATATGTTATTAAAATTAATTGTTAACTTTGATTTAGATTAAAATTAAAATTTCAATCGATAACAAACGTGATTTAAAAAAAAAAAAAAATTTAATTTCAAAAGTTGGGGGCCACCTACCCCCAGGACCCCCTTGGGTCCGCCCATGGCTACATGTTTTGCGATCATACAAGTATAGATATACTCTAAGATGACTTTAATCTTTAAATTTAGAAACAATCAATTTCGTTCTTTATGGCTAGATAGTACTCGACTCTTTCAAATAAGTTCGAAAAAGAGAAGAAGGAAGAATGCCAACATGTCTGCTGTCAGTGTCATTGAATCCACCCAATGTGTTAGTCCTCATTCTAGCAATGTTTAAAACGCCATCGGAAAAGGTAAATTACCAATCTTTAAACTATGTAATCTACTGAATTATGAACGAGCATTTACCCAAAAAAAAAAAAAAACAATTATTGAATAGACTCTATTCCAAATCGATAAATAGTCGAGTACAAACTTTCTAAACATGAAATCAGTAAATTTATTCATAGCCAGCCCACAACATTGTATACTTGTAACCGTCTCATAAAAAAAATATAAACCTCGTAAGAAGAGAGAAACTAGAAAAGTTAGTATTGTTTGGCAGATGGATTATTACTAAGCCCGAAATCAGCATTACATTTTCACCAACGTTTGCTCTAATTGTGTCATCACTCGTCACAAGATCCAATCCTTTTCGAAGACTCCCATTTAAACCTAAAATCAAGCAAACTATTGATAGGGGATAGATCTTAAACAGATTAGTAATAAGGTAGACCTTTTAAAATGAAATCTGAAATATTAATATGATATTAGAGCTGAAGTGCAAACGAACAATTTGATTCGATTAAAATTTGAACGATTACACAAATTTTAAGATTGATTTGTTCAGATGACCACTATCTTATGGAAGTATATTAATGGATAAATCTCACACTGATTAATTATTGAAATATAAATCAATGGTTAAGATTTTGAGTTACCTCTTTTAATAAAATTGACATTTTAAGATGAAATCTCAAATTTTAATATAAATTCAAGTGAAATAAATTACTTTCATAAATTATATTCAACTCACTCTAATAATGTTGAAATTTATATGTTGATCTACCCTAGTTTTATTATAAAATATTGAAAAATAAAATAAAAACAAGATATGATAAATAAGGTGGAATAAGTGGCCTTTTACAAAGACAATAATTCTTTGATTCTTCATTACATGGAAAATGGCTATCTTTTCAACTTTACATTTTCTTTATCTAATTTTACCTTCTACCAAACCTATCCCTAAAGAGTTCAAAATTTACTCGAAAAATAATTTTATTCATCTTCACTGAAGTTCATCATCGATCTTATCCAATGAATAAAAATGCATGAAAAAACTTTGTGAAAAGAGAATATACGATCATATTTGACAAAGTTTTGAACGACAATTTAAGTTAATAAAATTTACTTTTATTTTCATATTTTGTAGGGTCTATAATTTACTATCAAAATACTTTGTATACATTCAAAGGCATCAAAATCAACTTATCAACCCCATGGAGGTAAATAGCACACATAGATCATTTACTCTGTGCACCAGCAAAGTCTTGTCTCATTATTTTCTTCAGATGGAATTCTTTTACAAATGTTGGAAATGTCTTAAAGATAAACAATAAGCTGAATAACACACACACACACACATATATACTGTAGCTTCTGTTCATATAGTTCAACGACGGAAGTGTATGGATTTTTGTCTGCTAATGGAGTGTTGTTCTGCCAATCTATATGTGTATATATCATCATAGCCATTCATTTCACCATCACCCCATCTCTTTCACTGTTACTCCTTTTTTCTGGCCTTTAAACCCATCATCTTTTTCTCTCTCTCCATCTCTCTCTCTCTCTCACACACTGCTTTTCTCACTCTAAACTTGTATATATACAAAGCTTCTCAGTTCAGTGCACTATTCATGGCCGAGAGATTTCAACCGTATCATGTTCCGCAACAAAGCAGAAGAGATAAGCTGAGAGTTATAGCCCAAACCCAACCTGGATGTGTAGAAAATGTTCAGGAAACTGCAAATTTAGTCCCTCTCTACGATCCATCCCTTATGTCCTCAGATTTGATCAACTGTGCTAACCTGCACCATCAACGCCTCAATCTTGGTACTGCACCTTGCAAGCAGAATTCAAACATAGGCACAGTTACTGGTGGCGGTTGTGTTAAAGAAAAGGGCATGAATTTGATGGGTTTTGTGGGGGGAGTGAATACGATTAGTACTGCTGCTTCATCTTCTTCTTCTGCTACAAATCATTTGTATTTGGATCCACAATCATCTGTACAGTTAAGCCCTAGTACTATTCAAGATATTAATGGCAGCCCATATATCTACACACCCCAATGCCTCAGAGTTCTTGATCAGTCATTTCATGGTAGTGAAGTGGTGGTGTATAAACCTGAACCACTGTCAATAACCCACGAGGCCAACTGTAGTAGTGCAGCAACTTGTCAAGGCTTGTCTCTGTCCTTATCTTCACATCACACTCACCAGAGTAATCTCCCTCTGGAGCTGAATCTGCAGAGATATGACTATTCAATGTTCAATAGCAACAAGGTCACTGGAGAGTATCTGGTTGGTGGCAGTAGTTTCGGTGGTGATGGTGAGGGTTGCGGTGGAAGCGGTGGTGGCCTGGGAGGCTCTACTTCTAATGAATTATCAAGAAGTTCTGTGCCGTTAGGGCCCTTTACTGGTTATGCTTCTATCTTGAAGGGTTCAAGATTCTTGAAGCCTGCTCAACAGTTGTTAGAAGAGCTTTGTTATGTGGGTAGAGAAATTTATGCAGAGACAATTGCATCTGACTCAACTTTATTGGATCTCCCACCATTGGAGAGTTTGAATGGTGATGAGGTTGTTGATGATCCACTGACTTGCAGTGATGGTAGTGAGCAAACTGGGAAGAAATCAAGATTACTTTCAATGCTTCACGAGGTAATATTTCCTTCATCTCCAGTTCTTAGCGATGTTTATTTTTGTGTTGGTATTTTTTATTTCATGTCAGTAGATTTGATTATTCAGTTCGTCCGATGGTATTGCTAAAAGCTAGGTCTTTATGTGTTAGTAGTCTTTTACTGTAGATACTATTTCCAATTTTAATTTGTACATTCTTTAATGTGCAGATCTAAATAGTGAATCAGTACTAGCATTCAATTTGTGATAATGCATGAATTACTGGCAGAAAAAGCATTTAACTTTGATAGTTTGAAGTAAATATGGTTGCTTTGTGATCTAGATTCTTGTATAATAGGTATAGAGTTTGTTAAAGATGAAGAAAATCATCTTTTTGGAAAAGTAACAATGAAGGAATATATGCACAAAGATTGGTTCCATAAAGCATCTGACAAACATAAGAAAGGGTTCTAAAAGGGACAATACCCCCAAGTTACCAATGTCTTCTGAATAAAGTCTTTAAAGGAATCCATTTGAAAGGATTAAGTTCTTCACAGTCACAGTTGGAAATTAATTACTATTTAAGCCTAGTAAAGATAAGCTTAGTAGATGCCTTTATAAATCTCCTGCTGCGTATATTTTTTTGTCGATTCCCGTTGTTTAATAAAGAAGCGGCTGAAACTCTACAATTTACAAAAGCTTAATGCTGAGAGAATATGATTCTTGTCTCTGGTTCCTCAGTTCTGATTATTGTTCTTAATTCAGCAATGATAAACTTCTTCATTTGACATTAGTGTTATCATGGTAACAATTAATAAGCTAAAAGAGAAAGAAAGAAACCTTATGAATTGATTTACTTTGGTGAAGTTTGTAAACTAGTTATTGCACCCGAAAAAAGTGCTTCATCATTAATGATTGGTATTTTTCTTAGCTCTTAAAATTCTATCCTGTACGATACATCTTTAACATTGTGTAGGTGCATTTTAACATACGGATTTCCAACCTCGAGTGTTTGAATTGCAATTAGTTCTATAATTGAAGATCTCGTAGAGCTAAGGCATGTAGAACCTCTTAATCAAATTCTTCAACTTTCATCATTTTATTCACCGATGGGATCTTAAAAATGAACATGGTTCTTGAAGATCCTAACCAAGAAGTTCTCATCTCAGCTTGCAATATGGACCACCAACTGTTAAAAAAGTTTTTTTTATGTTGTTTTGATAAGCGATTGTTGTGGTTTTAGAAGTCCACAATCTTGTGATTAAGGACCCTTTCTCTCTCTTTGAGCTGTTTTCTTCATCACTTCTTTTTCTAGAGTAAATTTGAAAGGTTTTTAGTTTAAGCTCTAATACCACTTTGCTAGAAGCAAAGTGGGCTCACATTTGAATCAAACACTCAAACTCACTAGAATACTCGAGAGAATAATAGATTTGCAATAAATAAAATGCATTAATTATATATTTGAAATGTTTATATCTAAAATCGATTGAATCCAGTGCATAACAAGGAACATCCTAGTTAGTGTATGTCCCTGAATCCCACACGTAATCTAGACTTCCACATTTGATGTGTATTAAATTATTAATAATCCCATAGATATATAATCCTTCTTATCCATCTAATGGTATATAGTTCTTGTGTACCAACATTTATGAATATCAAGATTCGTGTGACTTATTCAAGGTTCAATGTAGAGGTGTGAATCCAGGTGGTTCGGGCCGAGTTGGCCCGCCCACGTATGAGCCCGGTAATGGCCCGTGTGAAAAAAGTCCGCCCGTTACGGGTTCCGGGCTGGTTTCGGGTCGGCTGGACTACAACCCAGGCTCGCCTGCTGACCCATCCGGGTCGTTCCCGTGCCGGTCACGGGTCGCAGTTTGTTCCGATTTGATCCGTATTATTGTATGAATAAAACAATAAAAATATAGAAATTTTCAAATTTATAGCAAAAAATATTTTTTTTGTTAAATGTAAACTAAAAATTGAACAAAATGATAAATTCATATTTATACCAAGAAATGCTTACATAAAATTCAAATTTAATATTACATGAATTATTTATAAATTTGCAAAGTTAAATTTAACTTGAACAAATAACTAAATGCATTTCTAATTACTATTATCAAATATTTATAGTATAACTACATGCAAACTAGGTTGACACCTACTTTTATTATAATTTATAGTTTAAGTATATTCCAACTAGTTTGGCTCTTTGCTCCCCTTTTTTGTCAAAATTAAATTTTTTTTTTCACAGGCCAGCAAGTTAGCTGCGGCCCGTGAAGGTGCAACCCGCGAAACCTGCGGGTCACACCTCCTTGACTTGTGAACCGCCCGCTCGGGTCACGGGTCGGCCCGTGGTCCCGGGTCGATCCGGGCCGATTTTCACGGGTCTGGCCGGCTTGTCATTCTTGACACCCCTAGTTTGATGGTAATTAATTATTGTGGAATGCCAAAGTTCTCGGTATCTACTTGCATTCATGCAAGTCAAGATTGAAATTGAGACCAAGTAATTACTAGTTACTTTTACTTTGTTAATGAGTTATTGGACTAGCGAATGGGATCACTTATACCTTAACAATGAGTCCAGCACATGTAGTTGATTAGACACTCATAGCTTGATGACATCATAGTATCCTAATCACCATGGTTAATAGCCAACTAATATATTTTCATACCCTTTTATTATCTGGGATGCTAGTTACACCTCTGATTTATTTGTGAGAGAAATTTTATTTATGTGCACCAATCTTTAACCACCTTTCTTTCAAGTTTGCCCCTGCAGAGAATAAATTCTGTCTAGCTTGACGAAGGAGAGAACTAAAAATTTGTTTTGCTTTTAGAACAGTCAATGGTACCATCTTTGTCAAAATTAATTGTTAGGAATGGTGCTTCTAATTTATTATAAACATTGGCAGCGGGACGGAGCCAGCCCGTCGAAGTAGGGGGGTCCCAAAGTTGAAGGGGTGGGGGGCCCCATTGGGGTTCCGCCCCAAAAATATTTTATTTGAAACATTATCTGTTAAAATGAGGGAAATTGATACTTTGTGATGGAGAAAGGAAACAAATGAACATAAATTAATGTACATTATTAACAAAAAAAAAAAAATCAAGAAATTTATAAAAGAAAGTACTAATCTTTACTTTTGCAAAATCATACATTATTACAAGTGTTCCTTTCGAGTTTAAGTTTTTGGATAGGTAGGGTAAGTTTTTTATTCATTTGAGGAAAAAATGGTAAATACAATAAATAAAATTTTAAAATTAAAAAAAGTTGTCAAAAATTGGGGAGGGGGTGGTCCGGGTGGGTCAGGGTCCCACCCAGGACCCCCCCCCCTGCAGCACCCCTTGTACTTGCGCACTTGGGTTTAAGGCCTAGCCAATATGGCACGACAATTCATCACTGGTGCCAGTGAGATGGATAATTATGCTTGTGAATTGGGCCACTGGGGCACATTTTTTCCCAGCTGGGGCGTTTGGACTGGCTCCCTTCATGCACCACACCAGATTACCTCTAAGAGTTCTTGAATCTCTCGCCCTTTTTTGATCAAAATCAACCATATATTTCAAAGCAATTGTTCTTTTGAAATGACTAATTTTCTAAATTTTGCTAGCACGTAAGAGCCCTGTTGGTGATAACCAGGCGGTTAAGCACACAATAACTATCACTTTTTCAAGGCATGGGGTTGCTGGGGTTCCCTTCGCCACTGAGAGAGTATCTGGAGAAACATGATTGGTTTAGAATCAATACATGACATAGCATTTGTAATTATACCCATTTGATTGACATGCAAGATAAACCCCTACTAATGTGATCACAGTTTTTTATTTTTATATTTTCAGGAAATGAAGTTTTGTGCCTTTGCATCAGCATATACTTTATACCCTTAAATGTGTATTCTTTTAAAGCACATGCAGTAGAGGTCAACTCACTGCGAGTCGTCTAAATTTTTTGGGAGTGCAAGTGTAGATCTCATTAGTTATGGAAGATATTAAGTTCTCTCAAAATGGGATTTTTGTAATTTCATTGCAGCAATTCTAACTATCTTATACTGGAGTTCTTCACAAGTTTCCATCTTTGTTGCTAATTTATAACTGTCATGCTGTTGGAATCATTCAAGAACACAACCAGAGTAACTTGAAGAACTTTAATCTACAAGCACTGACTAAGATTCTCTTGGTATTAGGTTTACAGGAGGTACAAGCACTATTACCAACAGATGCTGTCAGTAGTTGCTTCGTTTGAATCTGTTGCTGGACTCAGCCATGCAGCGCCATTCGCAAATTTGGCTTTAAAAGCCATGTCCAAACATTTCAGGTGTTTAAGGAATGTTATTACCGATCAGCTGCAGTTCATAAAATCTCATGGTCCACTAAGTTACGAGAAGGAAGGGGCTCAATTTGGGAGTTCTGGAGGGGGAATTCAGAACCAAAGACCATTTGGATTCATTGATCAACCTGTATGGCGACCTCAAAGAGGACTTCCAGAGCGAGCTGTTACCGTTCTGCGGGCCTGGTTGTTTGAACATTTTCTGCACCCGTAAGTTTTTATTAATGCCGATTAGCATTAGATTTTCCCTTCATTTCACGTTCTTAAATATTGGAAGAGGAAAATACGTTGGAGCCTTGGGATAATGGACATTGTTGCTGTTACAGTTATCCGACTGACACGGACAAGATAATGTTAGCAAAACAGACAGGTCTCACAAGGAACCAGGTGCGCATCTATGTATATGCATAAAAACATTTGCACATCAAGATTCTTATAATGTATTTATTTAATGTAAGTATCATCTAAAATACAAAGTATATGTATACATGGATTAGGTCTCAAACTGGTTTATAAATGCAAGAGTAAGGCTTTGGAAACCCATGGTGGAAGAGATACACATGCTTGAAACTCGCCAAACCCAAAAAGCTTCTCAAAGAGAGGAACAAAGTGCCAATCAGCTAAGTGATAATTTGCCTACAAGTTGTCCAGTTGAAGGTGAAAACGCATCCACCTCGATACAAAGAAATGAAAACTTGCCATCAAAATTCACTGGGAATGATTTAACTGGAACTCCTATCAGCACCAAGGGGCCGATGAATTTTCTATATGATAATTTGTCACATCATGTCGGAATTGGCATGAGCAGTGCTGGTGGAAGTGGCGGTGTGTCCTTAACTCTGGGACTCCATCAGAATGTAGGTTTCTCAGAAGCCTACCCCTTAAATGCAGCTCGCCGTTTTGGTCTAGATGCACATAGCGAGGGGTATGTAGAGAGTGGGTTTGCAGCACAAAATCAACAGTTTGGAAGGGACATTATCGGAGGACAACTTTTGCATGATTTTGTTGGCTGAACATGATTTTTGTTGGGATGGTTTGATCAGTTGTTCGGTGAATTAATTGGACGTGCTCTTATAGACCATCTAAAACGAAGCTGTTAATTATATGGTATGCATCATTTCAATCGTATTTTTTAGGCAACATCACTCTGGATAAATACAATCCTCCGTGATATGCATACCATTGGTCCTGGAAATAAACTCCGTTTGTTTGTTTGTTAAATCAAGTACGTCGGATACAAGGTAAATCTTTATCCTTTTGTCATCTGTACTGGTAAGCATGTGTATTATAAAGCTGAGAATTGTAGTAGAGAGGTTTTGCACAAGCCTTTTCAGTCTTTGAACATTGTTATCCATGTTAGTGGTTTAGTTCTTGCTGGAATTTGAGCAGTTCATCCCCAGTCGTATTCAAGTGTTTTTGACGAGTTTCGTCCTCTAGATATATATGCCCGTCTCTGACATGCTTGGTACATGTTTGGCATAGAGCCGTCTCACGTAGTATTGAGTAGTTTTATTTAAACATTAAATTTTGAAGTTTGTTAATTATAATGTTGAGCACTTCTTCCTAAATATGCACTTCAACCACGAATTAACTTTCGATCCCTTTAATTAACCTTGGATTATTTATATGTTAAAAACATTCGAATTAGTCTAAATATATCGAATAGGGATACCGAATGGTGTCCCTCCTCTCACAATGCGCTCGGGCCCCATGTGTATTTAAAAATTTCGGCTTGTGGTTCTCACCTTCTAATGTGAGTGGGGTGTAAAAGATTTGGTATAAAAAGTCGGTACATGTAGCGTAACCCAAAACATTCACTTGAAGGCACTTTTGGTAAAAGAAGTTAATTTGTTTCAACTCCTCTTTTAAGATTTTTATGATATATCGTTTCAATTGTAATTACAATGCCTTTGATAACCTTTTTAGTCGAGGAAATCGAAGAATTTTTTGGGAATCTTGCAAGATATGTATGTTCTTTTTCTATGATAGGTGGTTGGAACTTAATGTTCTAACGCCCACACTAGATATGGATCGAATTCTCATGATGATCTGAACTCAGCTCTGATTTAGCATTGTCCAATTGAGTTTAGGATTCAACTCAGGTCTTTGTTAAGGAAAATGTGATGGCTCTCTCATAACGACAGTACGTAAGTTGACTACTTGAAAATAACGATCGGGTCCTTTCAAAAAATTATCCTAAAGATTTCATTGTTACCTAGGCATTGTTTTGGGCTGTTAAGAGAATCACACTTGGCCCAATAACCACATGCAAGTCATGGGTCGGTGGACTCGCATCTTTGGACTTTTTGTTGTGCAGCAAAATCTCATGCAACACAACCAATTCAATTAGATGAATAGGTTATTTGACTGATTATTTTGGGGTTAATTACACAACTGTGAAACATTTGGGGGAGAGATTTTAAAAATTAGTTTAATAAAAATGTATTTCAAGAACTAAGTGCTTCAAATTTGTTATTTTATGTTACAGTTTATGTAATTTTTTGATGTGTATATTACAGCGAATTTTGAGAAATCCTACATTTAATATTTTACAGTTATTGTAACTTACACACTATAATTCTTTAAAATTATAACTTGAAATGTGTTACCGTTATGTAATTTCTGCAAAGTTGTAACTAAAAATACGTTTTATTGCTATTGCAATGCATGCAATTTCTTTAAAATTGTAAATTAAAATTATTATATCACCACCTCACAATCGCCATACGAGCCCGGAGCCCCAACCATCACCATTTCAACACAACAAAATTACATACACAATTATTAAGTGTATAATTTTTTTTTGTGTCGATACTTGTTAACCAAAGCACCACCATCGGCTTTCGTTACAAACCAACTCTCAATTATTATGTGTATAATTTTTTTTTGTGTCGTAACTTGTTAACCAATGCACCACCATCGGCTTTCGTTACAAACCACCTCAGCCATCATTGTCACCACAATAACAGTCAACCTCCATCAAGTCAAGAGACATAAATTGTTACAAGGATTTTGCTATTTATACACCAGGTGTCACACCCCCTCCCCCCACAATAAAGGGGGGCATACGATTAATAAAAAATTCGTGGGCCTCCTATTGTGAGGAGGGTTGTCCATTGGGTTGACACCACGGTGTACACATATCAGGGGTACTTGTAAAAATGACCTAGTAAAAGGTCCTTAATTCCACTTTGACTTTTCCAATAGA